CTTACATTTAAACATTCTTTTTGTTTCCCCAGGTGATATGTATTAGATTTAGAAACCATAATTCAAACGATTCCTCTGAATTCATAAAAAGACCAATAATGATAAACAGAACCATGTTATTGTTCTTATTTGAAAATTTCTTTAAAATGTTCACCATATTTATTGGTTTTTAAAACAATCACATATTTTTCAATTTAATGACATAGTTCACCAACTATGCTGCTATTTATAAATCCATAACAGCAAAAAATGTCCATAGCTGTGTATTGGTTATTTATTCTCTAGGTGCAGTTTTACATATTTTGTAAAACACTTTTAACAGTACAGGATTTTATTGTTTATCTTTTAATTCTACACTATTATGTTATTCTCATACATTTTTCTAATGTCCACATTTCAATGATCATTTCTTTCTATAATCTTTTTGTTGCTCTAAACAGCAGAACTTCCTCATTGTGAGACAATAAAGAGATTTTCTATTCCATCCAATCTATTGTGATCTGTTCTATTCAAATAAATGTAAATAAATAATAAAAAAAAGAAAACAGGTTACCTAAATTAATTTAATAAATTTGGTTTGCATAAAACGAAACAAAAAACAAACTTAAGTTTCTTTTTCTTATAAAAAAAAATCGAAATAAAAATCGTCTATTAGAAAATGATTTGGGTTTCGTTTCCAAATAAAGAATAAAATGAGAATAAAATGTCTGTTGGACCTCAGATATGATTAAAGTTAATCTATTGTTTTTGTTTCCAGCAGGTTGACACTGCGGCACGCAGTGCGCATGCGCCAGATTCCCGGAAGTGTTGCCGTCGTTCTTGTAGCAGCAGCTGATAGCTCCGCTGTCAACAGAAGGCTGGAAACCCGCTGCGGCTCAGACACGGTAAATATGCCGTCAGTGTGAGGTCGGTTAGACCCGGGGGGGTTGGTCCAGGTCCAGGTCCGGCTCCAGGTCCAGGTCCAGGTCTTTATTCCGGTGTCTGCTGACTCGTCTGGAGGCGGCGGTGTGTCGTTAGCTCAGATAAGATAAGGGTCGGTGAGGGAGGAACAGAAGCGATCCGCTGCTCCGGCCAGAGGGGCTGGAGGTGGGGGGTCCAGGAGAGCTGAGACCTCCGAGGAGGATCCATCCTCCTGAGGAGACATGTGAGAAGATTGGTGTGAAAGTGTCTGACTTTGGTGCTGCTGCTCTGTGATATTTTCACACAACAGCTAATCTGAGATCCTTTGGAGCAAAGGTTGCTGAGATCAGCGGTGAGGAAGTTAGAGTTGAGGTTTGATCTTAGAGAAGCTCCTCCATCTGGGAATGTGAGGAGTCATCTCCAAGTAATGGAGTCCAATGACTGCAGGAGGAAGGATTGTTCACGCCAGCTGCCCGACATCACCCTATCTGTAAAGCACAGAGGTGGAGGGATGATGATGAGGGCTTGCTTTGCTGCCATGGTGACCAGGAGCCTTCCTTACCTCCAAACGCTCTCCTGCGTTTGATGAAGGAAGCTGCTCTAAACCTCCCTGAACAGAAACTGTTGTTTCTAACATTTCCTCTGCTTTCTTGGAGCAGAAGGAAAACTGCTGATAATAAGCTGAGGTTGGAACTCTGCGCTTCATGTCGGAAGAATTTATCTTTAGATTCAAATTAAGAACATTTGATCCAGAAAAGCTGAAACTCAAAACTAAAGTCTGAAGGTTCTGCTCCTCAGATCGGCCCAGTAAGAATTCAGTTTCTATTCAGTTTATTTCTATAGCTCCAATTCACATCATGTCATCTCAGGTCACTCTACAGGTCAGATTGATTCAAAGTTTTCTATTTAAGGAAAACCAGCTGATTGCATCGACTCATTGACTCTTCAGCAATCCCTCACACTAA